ATGAAAATAGATATAACAGTGATTTTGGAATATCCTACTTATTTAGTGTAATTTAATACTCGAAGTATTCTTGCCAAAAAGGTAAAAAAGATCACGTACGCACACAGTAAGTGTCGTTTGAAATATACTTTAGCTAAAATAACAACTTTAACAAGAAGACCAACAATGGGGTCATGAAAACAGTCAAAGTTGCGCCCAAATTTGCATTAAACAGTTAGTCTAAAAAGATAACTTTAAACTAGATTCAACCCAACATTAATGCGGTTGAATTTTGTGAGTGTTTGATCGCATATTTCTACTCAAAAATACCCTTTAAAAAATCGTATCTGCTCACTTGAGTTCCGTGTTCATCTTTCTTGTGATTTCCGACTTCTATTTTTAATAAAGTTTGGAGAAATCCTCATCTTTTTGGCTGAAAATCTCGCGCATGGTTCACAGAAGAACTTGGCCCCAAAACGTCAATACATTCGCTTTCCTTTCATGCCAAATTTTCGTTGTAGATGATTCAAAAACCTCTTCTTTTTTCTCTTTTAAAACTTGCTGTGAAATCCGTCTTTGCAACAATGTCACCATAATTCATTTTATTTGAAAAACTAAGGTTTTAAACTTGAAAAACTTTGCGAGTTTTTGGCCGATTTTCTTGCATGATACATCGTTGAAAAGCTCGTATTTCGCATTCTATTTTCGTATCCGTTGCTAGGCAACCCGATAAACATGTGCTCAAATATCATGCCCGCAAGTTGAGGTGTCATTTGAAGGCATATGCGGGCGCATTGCCAGTTACCCACTTGCCAATCTCAGGGCGCATCCGGGCGCATTGCCAGTTGATGAGTTAAACATATAGATCTCCATGTTCTTGGGTCCTCTGCATCAAAACAACTGAGCAGGGCTTTCGAATAATATTGTCGTAATAAACTTTTAAATGTACTTAAACTTAAATTTGGTTGTCTTAAGTCTGTTGGAAGGCAATTCCATACTCTCGTGACGCGGGTAATATACGATCGCTGGAAAGTCCCTATTTGGGGGGTGGAAGGATAACTCACTGGCACTGGAAGATCTAGTTACTCTCGTGGGGATTATCGGTTTAGGGAGAACATCTTCAGATATGACAACCAGCCCATTTATAGCTTTATAGAAGAACACAAGATCCATGTACTCATGCCAGTACGATAACGGCATCAGTTCTAAAGTGATCAACCTATCACGGTAAGACTCACTACACATGAAAGGAAGATTTAGTATGAACTTGGAAGCTCTTCTCTGGATACGTTCTGTTCGTTTGATGAGACCTATGGACTGGGGCAACCATACCTGACTTGCATAGGCAAGAACAGGGTGAACCACTGACAGATAAAGTGTGCGACGAGTCCTTGTGTTTGTTATTTCTCTACCGCTTCTCCTCACGAAACCTAACAGTTTGTTTGCTTTTGTACAATGTTCCAGAACGTGCTTGGTCCATGTTAAGGTCACTAGAAACCCAAATTCCCAGGTCCTTCTTGGCTGATGTTGTTGCAAGTTTGTTGTCCTTGATCATGTACGGATAAAAAACGGGCTGGGTTTTCCTCGTTCCATGCAGACATTTACACTTGAGTTGGTTGAAGACAAGACCACTGGAGGTAGACCAACTGCCTAGGTTACTCAGATCAGTTTGGAGTAAATCAGCATCACAGATAGAATCCACGCGACGAAAGATCTTGGTGTCGTCAGCAAAGCAGGCAACACTTGAGTTCTTGACAACATCAGGTAGGTCATTTACATAAAGGAGGAACAGCATGGGTCCTAATATACTGCCTTGAGGTACTCCCGAAGACACTGGTTTTACAGAAGACGTTGCACCAAGAGTAGTAATGCGCTGTCAACGATTATATGGATAAGAAGAAAACCAATCGAGCAGAGATCCACTGATATCATATCTTTCAAGTTTGGCGATAAGCACAGCGTGACTGACCTTGTCAAAAGCCTTAGACATGTCCATGAAAATGACATCTGTTTGTTTACCCGAGTCTAACAGAGAAATTGAGCACCTCAACTAGCTGGGTGGTACATGATCTGCCTGGGATAAATCCATGTTGTGAGGTGTTAATTAGTTCCAACAGGTGAACACGCAGCTTGCTCAGCATGCAGCGCTCGAGGACTTTCGATACGATGCAGAGGATCACTCCGATAGTTCTCAACGTGGGTTTTTCTCAATCAGACGATAGTTCTCAACGTGGGTTTTGTCTCCTTTCTTGAAAACTGGAATGATGTTAGCCAGTTTATGGTAAAGAGCCACTATTGAGAGATCGATTAAATAGAGAGCATAACGATGGAGCAATTTGATGAGCAGTTTCTTTTAGAAGTATACCGTCAGGGCCTGTTGCTTTGTTGGTATCAAGGTTTTGAAGGACAATTAAAACGTCGTCGAGGCAAAGTTCAATTCTGACAGAGTAGATTTGCAACCGGTAGTTGAGGGAGGAGTTGTTGAATCAATTGGATTGTCGTTGCCGTTTAGAACAGATAAAAAGTACACATTGAAAAGCTGTACAATGTCACGAGGGCAGGATGCTGACTGGATTGGGGTAGGGTCCGATCCACCTACTCCCATCGAGACTTTTCCTGGCACGCTGGAGTCTTTGGTCTTTAGTTTGAAAAGGGACCAAAACCTCTTGGAGTTGTTACGCAGATCGTCCTCCAAGGTTTCAAAGAAGCGAGCCTTGCCCTCCAAGATTAATTGTTTTACTTTAGCAAGTAGTTCCCTAAATTTATTCCTTAAAGCATCAGTCGGAAATTATTTAAGTTTTCGTCGCGCAGTTTCCTTTTTCTGAATTAGATGAATTATTTCCGCATTAATCCAAGGAGGACTATTAATGTTTTTGATCGTTTTAGTAGGAATGTTCTCATATGCTGCTTTAAGAAATAGCTCTTTCCATTTCATCCATCCTTCTTGAACATGCACTTCCGACTCAATCACAGAACATAAATCAAGTGCTTCCAGTGCAGCCCTTAGTTCATCAAAGTTCCCTCTTTTGTAGTGAAAAACTCTACGTTTAAGTTTGGGAGCTGCTTTGACGGATGTTTTTAGATTGAATACAATTGTGGAGTGGTCAGTTATTAATCCACTTTCAGCTGATGTAATTACTGATACATTCTCTACTTGACTAGGAACATTGGTAATGACAAGATCAAGTACATTATTCCCTCGTGTCGGAAATGTATTCATCTGCGTTAGGTGGTAATCATACAATTGTTCAGTGAATTGGACTTCATCAACACCTGTTGTTAGTTCTGGAGATTTCCAGGAGATCTTCGGGAAATTAAAATCGCCGCAGTTCGAATATTGGGAACAAGACTTGTTGAGGAAAATGTTAAATTTTCCCAGTCATTGACTGTTCACATTTTGTTGGGACTTGTAGCAGCAGCATAACAGATATTTCGAGTTCGACTTCGAAGTTAGCTCAACCGTGACCAGTTCTAGATCGGTGTCAAAATTGATTTCGCGAGATGTTGAAAAAGAGCACGACTTAACAGCGAGTAGAACTCCACCAGCGTGAGATTTGCGGTCGTTTCTGTAAATAGTGTAGCCCCACGGAAGAATTTCAGAACTTTCAATATCATCCCTCAACCATGTTTCAGTTACCCAGACAAGATCTGCTTCTTCAGAATAAACAAGATCTTGAAAGTTAGACAAGTGACATGTTTGCTTACCGTCTTTCTTATGAACACTCAACAAACTACGAGCGTTAACGAGGCATTTTGTTAAAAATTTTCCATCTACCTTTTCTTGCGTTGATTGAATGCCGGGTAGATGTCCTGACTGCGTAGCCATAGTGGGACCTGGATTGGTAGCGATATCACCAGCAAGAAGGATCAAAAAGACTAAATGCGATTTTTTATGCTGTATATCAAACTTCAAGCCGTATCGGTGCTTACAAGGAAAGTGGGATTTTCTTAAAATATTGTCTCGGGTGGACGTCCAAAGAACACAAAGGCGATCAGATATGATAGTAAGATCTGAGGCGATTAGAACACTCGTAAAGTTGGAAGTGCTGCGAGATGCACAAATTCAGATTTCCACATATTCTTGATATTATGTATCCCAAATAAGGCCAACCACAAGAAGATGATGTAGTAACTCAATTTGAAGTAAAACATGATGTATAGTTAATGGCGGGGAGTCCCCTAAATTTGGTGAAACCAGAGATGTTATTCAAGTTATGAAACCAAAGTCAAAGGTCAGGAATTTGTTCATACGCGACAGAACATAAATGAAACATCAAATGTGCAGAAAGCAACACGACAAACTGCACCACGAAGAACAATAAGTAACTCAAAATGTTACGAATAACAGACAAACACGATTCCCGTGCAGAAACTTGACTTTAAACGACGGAAGCTCCTTTACAGGTACATAAAGATGTTGCCATGACGATAATGATGATTTGCATGACTTCACTTGGTTGCCTAGTTAATAACAACTTCCAGTCATCTTCAGAAGAATCTCCATTTCGCAGTCGAAAAAGTGAATCTCTAAATTTTTGCTGATCTGAACTGTTACCACCCACCCTTTTATTAACTGTCAGTACTATCGCTTTGTCAAACATTTGGTAAGCATAATATCCTTGTTCAGCAATTGAGTTACTTGGTTTATTATGGTATAACAGTTTATCACATACTGGGGGCAATTGACCAGGGTCACCAATAAGAATAATTGATTTTCCGCCAAATATTTGTTCATGTAAACCAGTTGCTTGTCTACATCGTCTGTCAATCCAGCCAAAAGATTTCTGACCTAACATGGAATACTCGTCGATTAAAATGTATTCAATACTGGCCAAACGATCTTGCAACATTGCAAGAGATTGCCCTGATAGCTCTTTCTGATATTTATAATTTACTGGAAGCTTCAGAAGAGAATGAATTGTCACTCCACTAATATTAAATGATGCTTTACCAGTAGTGGCTGTTATTACACATTTGTCCTTTTCTCTTACAGCAGCTATAGGATAACTTTTTCCTGTTCCAGCAACACTGTTGATGATCATTAGCAATGAATTCTTTCTACACGTATTCTCACAATGTGACACAATAATATCATATGCATTTTTTTTGCATTTCAGTAAAACATGAAATGTCTACTCCGGCTGACTGGTCATGTAAATCTGTCTCAAAAACATCTTTGTTCCTGTTAATCCAGTTTGTCATTTCATCTATTTGTGCACAGGAATAGAAATTATTATCTAACTGCCAATCATATTGGGAAGCTTTTACATTTTCTATCTCAAAATTGTGTAAATTATGATAGTCAGCAATTAACATCCACTCCTCTTGGTTTAAACTGGATTCGTCACTTTCTTTATCTGATTCTTCACGCACATATTCCATCGCATTCTCAATATTTTCACAAATGCCTGGAACATGAAGTTGGGCATACAGTGTGCTTAAGAACGAATGCCATGCATTTATACATATGTCTTGATCTGACAAAATACCATTTGGTGAACTAATATCCCATGCTTCCTCAGGTAAATTTGACCATGATCTATATTTCAAAAGTTGATATTTGCAATATATAGCATAATGTTCCCCTTTTGGATTACACGAGTATTTAGGAAAGACGTTTGGAACAAATCGTGTTGATCAATGGCGAAGTTCACCTTTAACAATTTTATATTTAGAAACGAATTGCATAAAATTAATATTCATGACATTTGGTACCTTTTCTACGTAAATTTTCCGTTTTGCATAATAGTCGAGCAAAGAGTTACTTGTGCATTTTGCTGCAGGACTTACACTGGTATTAACTTTACATGAACCATGTAAACTAACAGGGATGACAGTGAATGAAGAGCTGTGTAATTTGAGTGATAACAATAAGTGCATGGTTTCTTGGGCACTGAAATCTTTCTCCTAACATCCTCATCATAAGCCTTTTAATACTTTTTTCCGAATCACTTGAGCTATCAACATTGCTCATAACAGATCTGAAAACATCATGCATCATTGGCGATTTTTGCTCACATTTAGTAGCATACTTAGCTAAATATTCAATGCAAGCATGATGGTCAATGACAATTTGAAGATCACAATTAGCTATCCATCCTTGCAGTTGAAGACCTTGATGGTTATTTAATCTAGAATCGTTACTTTTTGTAACTACGATAGCTTTGTAATTAACTTTTCCCTCTTTACTATTTACTGGTTAAAATTCTAACTTTGTGGTCTCACACTTATCAAACGGAAAGTTAAAGCGGCAACTTAGCTTCGACTCATTCTGTTTATGTCTAAGACAATATTTAGAACTACAATGTGTGTGTCTTTGTACTGTGTTTAGCAAGTCAATTTAGTCCTTCTCTAACTTGTAGTCTTTTATATCATCATATCTTACTCTGCACAGATGAATATTAGGCTTCGTCCATGCAATGGCATCAGGTGGTTGAGGGTTAACAGTTGTTAATATCATGTCTACATATTGACAAATTTCGCGACTAACGCATTTACCTTTTTCGATGGTATCAATAAAAATAGAATCATTAGAAACTGTGGTTGTGGCTGATGTCAGGAATAACACTACTTGTTTCTGTAGATTCGTTGTATACAATTTCTTCATAATCAATGCTAGAATCTTCATCTATATCATCGTCACTTCCTACATCTTCATTCACCGATTCTATAACTTTAACATCATTTGGAATACCATCTTCTGGTAAACAACTTAAAGCATGCATGTTAATTTTGAGATCTTTGTAATGAGGATTATTTTAAATTAACCAGTATAATGCTTCTTCAACTTGGGCTCTTCTAACAGTTACATCCTCCTTACCCTTAACAGAAACAAGAACTAAAGGCAACTCTTTTGGATAGTAGGGCAAAGTTTTAGCCAATTCACCAACTTTTTGAGGCATATTAATGCAATGTCCCGAATAACCTCATTGTCCACCAGGTTTAAGATACACTCTCATTATGGGCAATGCTCGGGCAATAAGCATTTCTTCTATCTGAGTCACGTTTTGTAACTTTATTGGTACAAGCGATGGGATCATAAAGTTTTCAGCTGAAAATTTTGCAGGAACTTTATCTCTGTCACATGTTTTACAGACGTAAAAATCTGACTTTGGTTTGGTATTAATAGGCCAGGCTTCAAAACAAACTTGGCATTGAAAAACCGAATATTTCATTGATTTATGAAACTTTTCTATATTTACCTTTGCCTTCATATCAAACTTGTTAAAACCAGAAATATCGCTTAATAATGGTTCAGATACCTTTTCACTTTCCAGTTTCATATTTACAGAATTAGCATCTTTTTCTCTTACTTCAAAACATGCTTGTGTCTTACTGCTAAACGTGCTGGAAAAATTTGTCTCTTTAACTTTTTCAGTATGGACAATATTTATGGGCTTAGGAATGCCAGTCTTACTGAAGACATTTTCTCTTTTTAGTTTCTTAGATGAATGACTGACATCCAGGTTGTTTTCAATTTTACGTTTCTTACTTGCAACATCCTTCACATCCAAAACAACATCATAATGCACACCATTATCATGTTATAAATAAATTGAATGTTCATTTATAGGAAACAATCTATCTTCATGTGACATTTGTTTTGAAAACCTATGCCAACAAAAAGCTTTTCCAGACTTTGTATACACATAAATGTCTGTATCAAGCAATGATGAAGCAGTTAATATCTCTACATCTGTTCCCCAAGTCTTACCACATGCCATTCTTGAATTTAACAAATAATCCTCTAAGGAGCAGTTTATATGTGGCTGTAAAGAAAATTCAATGTCTTTCATGTGGCTTACAATTTTCTGTCGTATGCTTTTATAATAATTTTGTCGACCAGTAATCGCAAATGATAACGCTCGAAATAAACAATTACCATCACCGTTAATTGAATGACGTTTTATGGGTGCTCCCAATTGCTTTGGCTGCTTGAATTTGTGTTCAGAAATTAAAGGGACATTTAACAAAGAACATAAAAATTGTTGAGAAGTTTTTATTGACTGGTGAAAATGTTTGTGGAGAAGAAATATTAAAAGCCTTTTCAACATGAACTTTAGTACTAATTGGGTGACAGCTTCCAGTAAAATCTAGCCCGCGTGCAGGCCCAAGGGAACTGATAGTGGGCCTGCAAGCAAGGCCCGGTATTTTGTACTTTCCGCGTTCGTCCACAAACGCGGCATTCTGATTGGCTGTTTGCTGTTGGATTCTATAATTAGGTCAGTGATTCATCACAAAGGCATAGACAAAGGCTCTCGATAAGTTTAAAATTCGAAAATTGATCACTTTTTTCGATTACAAATGGACAAGAACAGACTGTTTATTGTTTACTTGAAGGAAGAGATGTTTTTGCCGTTATGCCAATGAGGATTGCTTGTCGTGAGGTGTTGGAATAGCAACATTTAATACGACTGGGGTAAACTATAGTAACCTTTACTTGAGTTTCATTAATTTCAAACAGACTTGATACGTTATATGTTCCTCATGAAAATGATCTTTTGGTTGATGTTGAGATGCAGTTGCATGTAAGCCTATTCAAAATACTTTGCGATTTACAAGGCTTCGCTGAGAGAGCAAAGCAGAAGACGGTATTAAATTGCCGTTTGAAACGAAACGACCTGGACTCTGAACGCTCTCTTCTTTTGTAGAGTTCTCACCAAATGAAATAACTGAAATAAATTTCGTACTTTCCGCCGCCAACAAGAATTGCACACACGATCTGATAAGTGAGACAATTTATTTATAACAATGGCGACAGCGAAGCACACATTATAAATGCTGATGTAGTCGCACGACTTCCCTCACGATTTGAAGTTTGAGACTGGTTTTCTGTTGAAATTCGTCTTAATTTGCCTGTTCCGATTTTAGTTGAAAATGAGCACTTGTAAATTTGGCAATTACTGACTGCGTTGCTTGCTTTTTTGGAGTTTTAACACAGGCATTTACACATTGTTTCTATTTTGAATATTAAAGCAGAGAAAACCCCGCAACATTTTAATGCGAGTTTGTTTGTTAATATTTGGGTTGCTGTCATTGGTTCTTTTTTGACAATTGATGCGCGAATGGGACGTGTTATGAAAAGGGGCGTTTTACAAAATACCGGGCCTTGCTTGCAGGCCCACTATCAGTTCCCTTGGGCCTGCACGCGGGCTAAGTAAAATCCGACTGAATTTTATTTTCGGCTTCACATTTCTCAATTGGAACACCTTCTACATCCATAACAACATCATAATGCACACCATTATCATGGTATAAATAAATTGAATGTTCATTTATAGGCTACAATCTATCTTCATGTAACATTTGTTTTGAAAACCTATGCCAACAAAAAGCTTTTCCAGCCTTTGTATACACATAAATGTCTGTATCAAGCAATGATGAAGCAGTTAATATCTCTACATCTGTTCCCCAAGTCTTATCACATGCCATTCTTGAATTTAACAAATAATCCTCTAAGGAGCAGTTTATATGTGGCTGTAAAGAAAATTCAATGTCTTTCATTTGGCTTACAATTTTCTGTTGTATGCTTTTATAATAATTTTGTCGACCAGTAATCGCAAATGATAACGCTCGAAATAAACAATTACCATCACTGTTAATTGGATGACATTTTATGGGTGCTCCCAATTGCTTTGACTGCTTGAATTTGTGCTCAGAAATTAAAGGAATATTTAACAAAGAACATAAAAATTGTTGAGAAGTGTTTATAGACCTTATTCATAAATCGTGACGAGGCCTCGTATCCTAGGATACGGGAACAAAACGCGGGAAAACAAGCGAAAACTGCTTGACAAGCCAAATTCAGATGCTATTGTGTCGACTTTAGCGGCTTGTTTCTTGTTGCTT